TTTCTCTCTTTTATTAAAAAAAAAAAAAAGGAAAAATATCCAGAAATTTTTTTTTTTTTTTTTTTTTGAGAAAGAGAGGTTTTTGCTACAGAGCATGTGCGCTTGCCAGAAAAACAGAGAGACAGAAAGCAAGAAATTTCCTCTGGGGGGATGGCCATGCCGCAATCCCTTCTCTTCCATTCTCTTCTCAGAATCTTGGGTACACAAGCACGGTGCCTGGAGTGAGTTTAAGCCACCAGGTCTGGGACTCGAACCGCAGTCAACTACATAGAAGTCCAGCGACATAGCCATTACACCAATTGCTGGTCCCTCCAATCATTTATTCTTCCCCTTCTGAAAAATCAGACATTTAACAATGTTTGATTCACAATGTCCAGCATTCAGGCAAAAAATTCTGTATATAAGCAAGTAAATAAATAAAAGTGATCCAGAGAAATCGGGGGGAAATGAATCAACTTGAAAATAAGTAAGATTCAGAAGCTGTTCACAAGTAGCTAGAATTCTGAGATGGAAATCCTTCTGGGTTGGACATTTTCTTCTCTCTCTCTCTCTCTCTCTTTCTTTTTTAATTTTTGCCAGAGGGCGCTTGCACTGCCTGGAGAGAATGCTGGAAAGTGAGAAAGCACACCCTCCCCTATGGGGACAGTCACATGCAATCCCTTCTCCATTTCTCCTTCCTTTCAGGATTTTTGGTACAACCCCACAAGTGCAAGGCATGCTTTTTGAGCCTTTGAGTCCGGGACTGAACTGTGCAGTTAGCCACCGTAACCACAGCACTGCTGGCTGTCCCCTGGGCATTTTCTTAACTTCTACGTCATTTAAAACACAACCCCCTACATTTTACATGGTCTGACAGCTGAAAATCTCTTCTTCACAGGCTGAAGGTTTCTCACCAGGTCCCCATAATTGACTGTGTTCAGATTTTTACTCATGTTTGTAGAAAACTGAAGGGGTACCCTGTGAGTTGTATGTTTTCAACAAACAAAAAAATCCTTTGGTGGTAATGCGCTGCTCAAGAGAAACCAGATCCCACATGACAACAGTCAGCTCAAATCCCTGGCCTGGCCAGGCAGTAACACAATAGGCACGTGTGAGCACCCAGAATCTGACAGGCTGGGACCACCCTGTGAATCCTTCCCATCCCTGTGAGCTCCAAGCCCAACTCTTGAGAACTTAAGGTGGAAACAGTCAAGGATACCAGAGGGCTGCCCATGGGGTGTGGTAGCTTTCCTTATTTTATTATTTATTTTTATTTTTAAGAGTTTTTGTTTGTTTGTTCGTTCGTTTTTTGCCTTAGGGCGGGCTGGAACAGGTGCGTGGGGAGAAGGGGGTGGTAGAGAGAGAGGAAAAGTGAGAAATCAGCCACCAGGGGCTATGGCCACGCCCAGTCCTCTCTCCTTCATCTCCTCTGGGGTCTAGGGCACGCGTGCGCATGTACCGGTGTGAGTTTCAAGTCACCACCCAGACTAAACCCGGTAGGCCAAGTTGGAGTCCAGCGTCGCAACCGCCCTGCCATCTGCTGGGCACGGGTGCGGTAGTTTTCTAGCTGCAGTGTTCCTTCTCTGGAGGAGCCCCTGAGTCAGGAGGATTTGTGGAGGTACTCTCCCCACCCCCATTCCAAATCCCCGTGCCTCACCCTCCGTGAACTGTCCCCTTAAGCCGGTCTCCCGACCTGGGAGGAGCGAGAGCAGGCGGGGCTAGCGGGCGGGACTCCGGCGGCTCCGCCCCTGCGTGGCCACTGTTCGCTCCCCGGTGCTGATCTACGTCG